CTGAGGAAGCGGCAGTGTTTGCCAAGTACCTGGCCCACGGGCTGCCCGCTGGCGCGCCGCTGCGCCTCGTCTTCCTGCTCAACGTGCTGTTGCTGGGCCTCTGGAACTTCTTGCTGCTCTGTACTGTCATCTATTTCCACCAGTACACTCACAAGGTGGTGGGCGCCGCAGTGGGCACCTTTGCCTGGTACCTCACCTACGGCAGCTGGTATCATCAGCCCTGGTCTCCAGGGAGCCCTGGTCATGGGCTCTTCCCTCGCCCCCACTCCAGCCGCAAGCGTAACTGAAAGAAAGAAAGAAAGGCACGTCTGGCCTGGCTCTGGCCCCTCTCATCATTTGGTTGGGGGGACCTGGAAAGGGTGGGAAGGGCAAAAAGAGCCTGGAAAATAAAATAAATATTTGAAATAAATAAGAGGCTGGTGGTCACGGAGGTTCCTCAGCCATTCCTTGCTGTTACCAACGTTGAATGTCTTCCCTTATGCTTGATGGCCATTTCTCCTGCTGTCCTTTTATTCTCCTAGTCCTTACAGACTTGAGCTATCTGAGGCTCTGATGTCAAGGAGTGGCACTGCTAGGGCAGGTAATGGTGCCCTTAGGTATGGGCAGCATTCCTGCTGAGCAGGTGCCCATCTCCAGCCTGGTTGATTTATTTTTCCTGCCTCTCCCACTGAATCCTACCCCTGCTTTCTGCAGGGGCCTGCCTGTCTAGAGACCCTTTCTACCCTGTCTTCTTCATAGGGGTCCGTGTGTACTCATTTATTTAACATGTTTATTGAACCAAGCATAGTTCCATGCCATGTGAATAAGAAAGACTAGGTTTTTTGCTGCTTGGGGGCCAGTGGGTTGGTTACTGGGGAAGGCAGATGATAAACTCACAAATAACAATAGCTAACACTTGTATTGTGCTTACTCTGTGGCAGGCACCATTCTAAGTGTAAGTTCTTCATATAAATGAACACATTTAGCCCTCACAGCAACAACACTATGAAGTAGGTAGTATGTCCATTGTACAGTTGGGAAAACTGAGGCACAGGGTAAGTAACTTGTTCACAGCTAATAAACATGAGAATCAGGATTATAAACCCAGGCACTATGGGTCTGTTATCTGTCTCTAAACCAGGGATAAGCAAATTACAGCCCTCCTGTGGGCAGTTTTTGTATTGCCTGATTGCTAGGAAAGGTCCTTAACATTTTTTTAATGGTCGAAAGAAAATTAATATTTCATGATCTGTGAAAATTATGTGAAATTCAAATTCCAGTGTCCATAAATAAAGTTGCATTAGAACCTAGCCACACTAATTCATTTAGGTATAGCTACTTGCCTGCTACAATGGCAGAGTTGAGTACTGTAGTTGTGATAGACACGTTATGGCCCAAAAAGCCTAAAATATTTACTATCTGGCCTTTTACAGAAAAGGTTTGTTTGCCAAACCCTGGTCTAAACCACACTAGCCTCAAAAAATAAACTGACATATCAGAGATAAGTGCTATGAAGGTAAACAGGATGCTTTGTAAGAGAGAGACTTGGCACCCTCGCTGGTTTGGCTCTGTGGATAGAGTGTGGCCCTGCAGATTGAAGGGTTTTGGGTTCAGTGCCAGTCAAGGGCACAGACCTAGGTTGCAGGTGATGGGTGATTCTCATCATTGATGTTTCTCTCTCTCTCCCTTCCTCTCTGAAATCAGTAAAATTATATATAGTCTCCAAAAGCTGTGTGGAGAGCGGGTTATGGAGGAATGGAGTCCACAACAAGGGTCAGGAGAGAGCTGACTGGAGTCTGGGTTGGGGTCTGAATGGCACTGCGTTGGCCAGAGGATGCTGGGGAGTCCGGGACCCAGGCTGGCAGGGCTGGGGGGAAGCGAGGTTTGTTCCACAGCTGAGGAAAGATGGTAGAGCACCGGATAAGGCTTATCCCTGTCCCAGGCCGGCAGGTGAAGAAGAGAGCCAGTGGGAAGTCGGGAGGCGGGGTGCGGGCGTCCAAAGGCGGGCACTGGCCGGGTAGAGGGAGGGCACGCCTGGTGAGGCCGGGAGGGGAGAATCAGAGCACAGAGCGCACAGGCGTGGAAAGGAGACGGGAGGGAGGAGGCGGGGCGTCGAGAGCAGGGAGGCGGGCTGGGGGCGGGCGGAGGCGATCAGTGGAAACGCTCCCCTCGGGCTCTAGGGGGAGCCCGGCCTGAGCCGCCTGGCTCCGCACGCCTCACCCCCACCCCACCCCACCCGGCCCGGCCCCTCTCGTGGGCCTGTCCCCGCCTCCTCCAGCGCCTACACTCCCCGCTACTCAGGAAGGCCGGCCGGCTGCGCGCGCTGCTTTCGCTTTCCCTTCCCCGAGCCCGGTCCTCGCTCCTCGTGCGGCGCCAGGACCCCCGCCCGCCCCAGCCATGGCCACGCTCAGGGTCCAGCCTGAAGCCCAAGCCAAGGTGAGCGCTGCGGGTCCGAGGAAGGACCCATCAGGGAGGCGTGGCGCCGAAAGGCTGAGGGCGTAGGTGATCCGGCCCCCGCTCCCCCCGACACTTGGGGTCAGTCTTCGAGCCCTAGTGACCTCCAAGCCCGGAGCACCTGAGCCCCGAGGAGTCCCGCGGCGCTCGGCCGCCGGGAGAGGGGAGGCAGCCGAGGTGCAGCGGGGCGAGGCGAAGCGGAGAGCTAGCGTGGAGGGGAAGTCCGCTGGCCCGGCGCCGGGCCCACACACAGGCGTGGTGCGGGGCCTCTCCGACCACCGCATTGCCTTTTCCACGGGGAGGGCCCGGGCCCACCACACAGGGCACTGCGCCCCTGCCCCGGGCGCAGCAGGCTCTCACTCTCCTTACACAGCCAGGAGCCCCGAGGGGTCTGTTCTCACTTGAACCACTCGCCCTTCGCAGCCAGGAAGGTTCTCATCCCCAAAACCCAGCCCCAAGGGGACCCACTCCACCTTCCCCAGGCCAGGCCCTACACAACCCTAAGGGGACAGTACTCAGATGAACTGGCCATAAAGCCAGGTGTCTGAAAGGCTGCCTGTGTCCCACAGGTAGATGTGTTCCGTGAAGACCTGTGTACCAAGGTAAGACCTGCCCCATCAGCACCCCATCCCTACTCAATTCCCACTGCTTAGCCCTTCCTTACTGCCTAGGAAGGACATTTGATTCTGAACCCCCCCCCCCCCCCAACTTCTCCCACCTCCACCTCATTCACAGACAGAGAACCTGCTTGGGAGCTATTTCCCCAAGAAGATTTCCGAGTTGGATGCATTTTTAAAGGTACTGGGGTTGAGCAGGGAGCTTTATAGAGTAGGGGCCAAGGGGGAGACTCTAGGGGCCACGAGGATACCCTGGCCTCCAGCCTCCCTCCTACCCTGTGCCAGGAGCCAGCTCTCAATGAAGCCAACCTGAGCAATCTGAAGGCCCCATTGGACATTCCAGTGCCTGATCCAGTGAAGGAGAAAGAGAAGGAAGAGCGGAAGAAACAGCAGGAGGCAAGCCAGGAAGAGCTGGGAGGAGGGACCCAACGATGGGGGGAATTAGCCTTACACCTGACTCCCAAGAGCCATTCTTTCCCTGCAGAAGGAAGACAAGGATGAAAAGAAGAAAGATGATGAAGACAAAGGTACCACTATGGTGGGAAGGGTCTTGAGTCTTATCTCCCAGGAGCTCCTCCTAAAGGATTCCACTTCCCCACCCCTCACTCAGTCCCAGCCGTGTGACTGACCTATTGCCCACTCTCTAGGTCCTCCCTGTGGCCCAGTGAACTGCAACGAGAAGATCCTGACCCTCCTGCAGCGCCTAAAGCCTGAGATCAAGGATGTCATTGAGCAGCTTAACCTGGTGAGCCCTCCTACTTCACTTCCACCTCTAGGCCTTAGTTCAAGCCCTTGTCTTCCTTGGCCCCTGCCATTTAGGGCATGGCACCTGCCAGGTCTTAGCAGGAGAGGGCATAGCCACAAAGTCAGAAGTTTAGGCCCTGGGGCTCAGCATGGTCTTGGGATACCTCCACCCAGGTGAAGGTATGGCAGGAAGCAAGCAAGGAAGGACAGGAAGTTGGGAATTGGGTTGAGGGGTTGATGTGGCTTTGATGCTATGCCCTCCTCCCAGGTCACCACCTGGTTGCAGCTGCAGATACCTCGGATTGAGGATGGAAACAATTTTGGAGTGGCTGTCCAGGTTAGAGCACTGCCTCATTCCTCTCCGTCCTTACCTCTCTAGTCCATGCTGTTTTCCACTTTCCTCCTTGAATTCTTTCCCCAGGAGAAGGTGTTTGAGCTGATGACCGCCCTTCACACCAAGCTGGAAGGATTCCACACTCAAATCGCCAAGTGAGTGTCTGCCCAATTGCACCCATTACACTCTCTGCCTTTGGCTTGGATAGAGGCTTGGTCTCTCTCCTTCTCCCACTCCACACCCTTCTATTTCCCACAGGTATTTCTCTGAACGGGGAGACGCCGTGGCCAAAGCAGCCAAGCAGCCCCATGTGGTAGGTGAGAGCCAGGTGGGGTGTATGAAGGGAAGGACGCATTTGAAGTCAGCCCTGACCCAGGTCTCCCACAGGGTGATTACAGGCAACTGGTGCATGAGCTGGATGAAGCAGAGTACCGGGACATCCGGCTAATGGTCATGGAGATCCGAAACGCTTATGTGAGGAGGAGAGGGTGGGGATGGGGTGGGCAGAGGCAGCTTTCCCAGGCCACCTATCCCCTGATTCTGCAAACTGGGGGTGAAGGGTGACAAAGCTCTGTGTCTCTACAAGGTTAGAAATGAGGCACAGAGCCACTGGGAACTTATGGCTGATCCCCACTCCTCCCTGATCCTATAGGCTGTGTTATATGATATCATCCTGAAGAACTTTGAGAAGCTCAAGAAGCCCAGGGGAGAAACAAAGGGAATGATCTATTGAGAGCTTCCTCTTATACTGTAGTGCGTCCAGCAGAGACCTTCCTATCTTTGACAGGGAACTTCAGACTGTGCCACCTTCTGCCATTTGAGGTTTCTCCCTCACTTGCCTCTTAGGCACAATAAATATAGTCATAATGGTATCCACTAGCTCAAGTCTCTTTATTGGATCCTGACACACACACCCCATGGCCCTGGCTCAGGCATTTCCATTGGTGGGACCAACCCACTGAGTGATTTTGGTGTTGAGCTGCTGGTTGGTCCAGTCCTGCCGGATGTCATCAAGGTGGCAGTCAAAGTCCACAAGGTGCTGCTGGGCCCGGCTCTCCAGAAGTGCTCCCACCATCTGTCGTGAATCCTCCCAGTCCCTCCACATCACTCTGAAATAATAACCCTCATGGAGGTCAAACTCAGCAGGCAGTGGGGCCGGACATAACAGGTTAGGTCTAAGCAGTGGTCACCAACCTTTCGGACCTCAAGGACCACCGTTGGCAACCACTGGTCTAGAGAATGACCCTTGGAACAGGACCAAGGACAGAGGCCCCAACACTGGATTTCCAAGAAGTAGAGGGAGTGGGGCACTCACAAGTTCTTGTCCTTGGGGACCCAGCGGAGACCATGGTTCTCCAGAACGATGACTGGGGGCACATGAGGCTGAGACACCAGTTTCTGATTATCCAACTGTGTAGATAAGGAAGGGCAGGTGAGAGCTTCAAGGATCCGCCTTCCTACTTTCTTTCCAGCCCCCTTCTCCAAACCCAAGCCTCACCATAATAAGTACTGCATCAGGGAAGAATTCTGCAATCCGCCCAGCGATTTTCAAGGCTAGGGGCCCAGGGCTGTGTAGAGGGAAGATCAGAGGAGTGAGGAGCCGACTGGAGAGGCCCTGTCCCTCTGAGCTGTGCTTTCCAGATCTCACAGACATGGATGCAGTGATTGCCTTTCCCTGTAGTTAACCCGGGGGGTTCAGGTCTGCTTGATGCTTCATGCAGGACTGCTTGATGCTTGAGTGCTGTGGGAAACAGGTGCTTAGACACTGCTGGTGAGAGTGGAAATCAAAGGTGGTCTTGGGGGGTAGGTTGGCATAACCATCCAAATTTAGACTGTATGCTGTACATATGCTGACCCAGACAGTCCACTTATAAAGAAATTACTGTAGGGCACTATAATAAAAAATCAGAACTACCTCAATATTCAGTATAGGCATTCAATAAATTATGGTACATCCTTATTCATATTACATAGCCTTAGCTTAGGTAGATCTTGGTGTAGAGATGGAAAGATGTCAGCTATTTAATAAATGAGGGAAAAGTACATTACAAAACTATGTATACTTTGATCCAGATATATCCTTAACATATAAGTAGATAATTTTTTCTACTTATAGAAAAGAAATTTTGTGGTTTTAAGTTGCTTGCTGGGCTTCCTGTGTTGTTTTAGCAGTTGGGGGAGGGGCACCTCGGTTAAAACAAGTGTCAGCCTTTTCTTACACACAGTCATCCTGCCCACCCCACCGCAGCTCCTCCAGAGCGTCTTTACATTTCTGTTTCCTCGCTCCAGTGCCCAACCTCGTGCCTGGTGGACAGTCCCTGCTCCTGAGCGTGTGATAAAGGAAAGATGGAAGGAATGACCCAGAGGAATTCTCTTGACCCCACCCCCACACTCACCCCTAACCCTTAGCCTTCCGCCTCCGGCCACCCGACTCACCTTTGGTCACCGAGAGCTGCATTGGCATGGTAGTACCCAGCCAGGACCAGGCCGGCCTGCGCGCCCCACACATCTACCTGCCATGGGAAAGGGGCCATCAGTAGGCGGCCCGCGGGCGTTCACGCTGCTAGAAGCGGGGACAGTCGTGGGCTGGGGGAGTTGGGGGGTTCACGGTGGTTGGTGCGCGCCCAGCAGCCGCACCTGGTGGAGGGCGACCTCCAGCATGACGGACAGGGCCAGGTGGCTGTGGAACAGCGGCACACAGTCGGTGAGGCACAGGCACTCTCCCGACTGCGGCGCCGGCGCCAACAATAACCCGTTGACCGCGGCGTGCGGGTACCGGGCGGCATGCAGTAACATCTTCCCGTAGGCCCGGGCCGAGATCTCCACCTCCCCCATGGCGATCCGGGCGCCCGCTCGCGTCTGCGGGGCTTCCTCCAGCGCCCGACACCCTCCCTGGGCCTTCCTAGGCCCCCTCGCTTAGGTTCGGTGGTAACCCTGATTGGGCTCGAAGGTGCTTGGCTCTGGAGCCTGGGTCCAACCCGGCCCGGGACGTAGGCTGCCCGAGAGCATGCTGCAGCGCGGAGCCCGCGCCGCCCGCGCCCGCCCGCCTCCAGGGGGCGGCCGCAGACCCGGAGCCGCCCGCTCCGAGCGACCAGCTTCTAGGGGGGACTGACCACATGGTGCTCTGTGATAGGCTTAGAGGTTCTCATTTTGTCCAATCACCGGCCTCAGCCAAACTTGCCCCACCTTTGTCTCCAGCGGAGTGGAAAGGACCCACCGCTGTGAAGAGAACGGCCTGCACGCTGATTGGCTAGGCTGCCCAGCGTGGACCTGTGATTGCAGGATGGCTTCTGCGGTTACCTGTGCGGCCGGCCCAGAAGGGCCCGCAGGGTCAGCCCGCTCAGCCCGCGTTAGGTACTTTGAACTTGGGCACGTAGCGAATTACCTTTCTCCTACTATCGAATGAGTGGGTTTGTACTCTAGACCGGCTCTTGCATTTAATAATGAGCCAACTACAGGTTATCTGGCCTTTGGTTTCCTTGATGTAATATCTGCAGAAACAAAGACAGCAATTGGCTGAAGGAGGGTAAAAAAACAAAAAAAAACTATACAGACCCATCCTTCCCATAATGTCCTGTGCTGTAATTTGCTTTAGCATAATGCCTTGGGAGTTTTTTTTCCTCCCATCTTTGAGAAGTTCAACCATTAACCTGTAATTCTCCAGTGAAACTTTTCTCCAGGCTTGCTCTGAGCTGATGAAGGGATGAAAGGCTTTTCTTTCTTCATTCCCTGACCTCAGCCAAAGAGCTTTCCTCTTGTCTGTCCAAACCTTGATTCATCCTATAAGGACTGCCCAAATACTGCCTCTTCCAGGAAGCACTCAGATGGAAATAATCTTGTGAAAATCCCAAATACAAGTTATCTTCATGGCCTTCGTGGAAGGTAACAGTTTCCACCCTATTCTTTAGGATGACTTCTTAAGAACAGAATGGGCATATAATTCATCTTTGTCTTCCTGGAACCCCCTACCTTTCCCGCCACCACATTCACCTTCAGTGTCTGGACAAAGGTGGCACTCAGTAAATGCTTTCTGAATGAATGACACACACCAGAGGTAATCCACACAAAGTATTGGTAATTTATTTCCCTTCTAGCCCTGGGGTCAGTACATAGATGGCTTCTCTTCACCCTTTGGGTTGACAATTTTCTCCAGGTTGCTGCTAATGATATGATAAAGCTCAGCCTGAAAGAAGGCCAGAAGTACAGCAGTCAGGACCTTGGCGTTCCCTCTGTACCCCCTCATCCAAATCCCTTGGGGGCTTACTCCATACTCACATAGAAGGCCCTTAGATCCAGCACCATGGCCCTGAGCTCCCTATAGGCTGCCTCATCTCGCTCGTGCACCAAGGCCCGGTAATCCATCTGGGATGTGGAAGGCAAAGCTGAGTCAGGAGATTGAGACATAGTCTGGTTTCCTCACAGGGAATAGGTAACTTGAGGATGAGCGCTTACACAAGAAACGGGATTCCCATCGTGCCAAACAAAAAAAGGGGTCAATGTTTTTGAAACCCAAATCGGTTTCCTAGGCAATGCTTTTACCTTAATATTCCCCATATTGGGAAGGTCATAAACAAGACAAAGAGGACTTCCAGCCCCCTTTCCTCACCCTCCCACCTGCCAGCCTCAGCTGAAAGGCTAGTAGACAATCTACTCACTACATGGGTCTCCTTGGAGGCCTTGGCTACAGCATCCCCGCGTTCTGAGAAGTACCTGCCAGGAGCAAGGGGAGTAACCACAGAGTAAGCATTCAGAGAGATGCATTCCCTCAGGCCCTTCCCAAAGCCCCCCATCATCCCAATGGGACTGCCCAGCTTTGGGAGTCACAAGAAATGTCCCTATAGCTGCTCCCCTACCCCCCACCGCCCATGGTGGCCTTCTTGCTGCCCTCACTTGGAAATGGTTGTCTGGAAGGCTTCTACTTTGGTCTTGACTGCATTCACCCTCTCCAGCACCTTCTCCTGCGGGGACAAAAGAGATGGGAGGTAAAGAAAACACTTCTTCTCCTCCCGTCTTCTTCCTCCTCCCAGTATGTCTAGCTCCTATTCCTTACTCCCCAACTCTCTCCCAGCTCTTAATGTCTTCACATACCCTTTTCTTACCTGGATTGCTACCCCAAAGTCATTTCCATCCTCAATCTTGGGGATCAGGTGCTGGATCCACGTGATCACCTACATGAAGAGGTTATCATGTCGGAATCATTCAACAAACTTACTGGGTTCTTCCTATTTCTGCTATTTCATAATAACAGCTATCTTTAATTGAGCATTTATTATGTGCTAAGTACTGTGTTATGTATTATACATCTCATTTAATCTTTCAAGTTATATACTTTAAAAAAAAACTGCTTTATTTATTTATTTGTTATTATTATTTTTTTTAATCCTCACCCAAGGATATTTTTCCATTGATTTTTTAAAAATATATTTTATTGATTTTTTACAGAGAGGAAGGGAGAGGGATAGAGGGTTAGAAACATCGATGAGAGAGAAACATCCATCAGCTGCCTCCTGCACACTCCCTACTGGGTATGTGCCCGTAACCAAGGTACATGCCCTTAACCGGAATCGAACCTGGGACCCTGGAGTCCGCAGGCCGACGCTCCATCCACTGAGCCAAACCGGTTAGGGCTCCACTGATTTTTAGAGAGAGTGGAAGAAGGAAAAACAGAGAGAAATATCGATGTGAGAGAAACACATCAATTGATTGCCTCCAACATGCACCCTGACCAGGACCCAGGCTGGGGAGAAGCCTGCAACTGAAGTACGGGCCCTTAACCGGAATTGAACCCAGGACTCTTTGGTCCACAGTCTGATGCTCTATTCACTGAGCCAAATCGTCTAGAGCTCAAGTTACATATTCTTATTATACCCACTTAACAGATGAAAAAACTGAACCATAGAACATCTAAGTGACTTATTTAAGATAACCAGCTAGGTAAGTAATAGAGTCATGATTTGAGTCCAGGAAGTTTTCCTCTAGGGCCCAAACTCTTAAATCAACCCACTATATTATAGCATCTGCACTATCCACCAGGTATAGCAGTGAGTTCTGAGGTTATGGAGGTGAATATAGCACGGTCTTTGATTTCAGGGATACCACTGTGATATCAGAGGTCTAGCAGAACAAAGGGTATCTAAACCCATGTCACAGAAGGAAGTTTCCTATTCAGGAATAGTTTCCTGAATGAAGGACTTGCATTTCTGAAGGACACCAGGGCCTGGCCTGGCTTGTCTTCTCTATTTCTCTCAGTTCCCAGGCTTACCAGAATACATTTTTCTTTGAGAGTCCAGACTTCTGGCTTAACCAGGGCAAGCAGGGCCAGGAGCTTCTCATTCCCAGGGAGAAAGCCGCACTTAGGGACTGTGAAAAAGAGGAGATTTAGGCCCCTTCTTATCCAGCAGTCATTGTGCCACTTCCCTTTCCCTAGCTACCCCTTCTTCTCTTACCTTCTTTCTTCTCCTGCTTATCTGTTTCCATCTAAAGTAGAAAGGGTGAAAGTAGCTTCAGAAAAGTCATGGGAGGTTAGAGAGCCATCCTCTGCACTGGGTTTACTGTCTAAACCCCACACCCTGAGTGCCTCACCTCATCATCTTTGGGTGGGGGGTCTGGTATAGGGATGTCCAGTGAGGCTCGGAGAGAGGTCAGGTCAGCCACATTGAGGGAGTCCTCCTGCACAAAGCTTACTGTCAGGGGCTGCCCGACCTTCCCTCCACACATCCCATCTGCCCTCTCCCTCCCAACCTAGGCTCAGGCCTCACACCGTCCTCAAGTTCCCAGTCCACCACTCACAACTGTTCTCTGCATGCTGAGCCCAGCTGTTAGTTAGAGAGGGTGGGTGGAGAGGACAGAGGTCATGGGATGGAGCAAAAGGGGTCCATACTACTCACTTGCAAGAGCTGATTCAGGTGCATGATCTTCTGTGGCAAGAAGCTATAGAGGAATTCCTCAGCCTGTGGATTATATTGCAAGGGTGGGGAATCACAGAAAAGACTCAGTGAGATGTCTGAGAAGTGGGACTGGTAGGGCCCTTGAAAATTACTGAACCCAAGACCTACAAATGAGGAAACTGAAGTCCTGAAAAGTGAAGGGACTTGCCCAACTGGGAAGTGGCAGATCCAAGGTTAAGGCTGTGGTATTCCTGCTTCGGGGCCACAACATCTCCCTCCACACCAGAAAAGGAGAGAGAAGTGGCAGAAATGGGGACAATATTAGAAGATATCAAATTAGAGGTAGAGATCAATTAGGTGCTTATCTTGGGTGAAGGCTTGATAAGGGAAGTAGGGCCCAAGTCTAGGGTGGGTTTGGGGATCACTCTGAGAGGTCGTGATCCTTAAGCATCGGTCTAAGATTCTGGGGCAAATAGCTTGAATCCAGAAGACTTACCTCCTGGAAAAGATTTTGCCTGAAGACATCCACCTGCATAGAGAGCAGTACCCGAACGTTGGTTAAGGGTCTCAATTGTCAACAGTAAGATCCCGTCCCCAATTAAATGCCCTCCAACTTGGCTCTGGCCTTTCCCACCACCAGCCAGATTTCCTTGGAAGTCCATGCTCAGTGCAGAGACAGGCCAGAGGGCAGGAATCTGGGAATCCCCGGGCAGAAGTGAAACCACTAAAGAGAGAGGTTGGGGTAGGTCTCGGGCACGGCCTTGGTTCCCTGAACACCCAGCTTCGCCTCTATCCGGGACGGCTCCCCGGCCCCCTCCTAGCTTCCCGGTCCCCATTACCTGTTTGCGGGCTTCCCCGCTCAGGCGCACCCCGCAAGGCTTGGCCATGCTGCTCCAGTGGCTAGATCTCGGGTCTCTGGGCTCGCCTCCTGGGCTTTCGCTTTCACTCCCCACATACCAGGCCCGCCCCCCTTAACCCCACCCCCTTCCTCTTTCCCCCCCGCCCCCTGGCAGGCCGCCAACCGTAGGGAGCCCCTTAGCCATACTCAACCAGTTGAGACTAGGAGAGGCGGTACGAGGCCAGGGGGGGTCCGAGGGAGGAGCTAGGGCGAGTGGAACCGCGAACGCTGAACTGGGGCGGCCCCGCCTGAGCAGGGGCGGGGCTTACAGGAAGTCAGTGTCAGAATGAGAGGTGGGGAGTGGGTGTTCAGAGGTGGAGAGGCATCGGAGCTTCGGGAGAAGTAGGAGGGGGCCGGGGACTGAGGCACGCTAGCAGCTATGAAAGGGAGTAGGCGGGGGCTCCCTGCCGCCCACGCCGACTGGAGAAGACTCGCTGGAGCCCGGCACGGGCGCAGAGAGGGACTTCCCCAGGGGGGACCGGAGCCAGGCCTGCCGGTCAGGATGGGGCGGAAGGCTTGGAGGGAAATTAGGTAACGCCGCTCCCTGGGCTCCCCGGAAAGGGGCGGGCCAGCCTGGAGGAAGGCGGGGAATATCTCCAGCACTGGGTTCAAGTAGAGACGCCCTAGGGGAGGAGCCAGGGGCCATTTACCCTTCTCATTGGCTGGGAGCCAGTCTCCCATCATGGCCACGCCCCTTGATTTCATGACCCCGCCCTTTCCTAACCTTAAACCCCGCCTCTTCCTCTGAAACTGGGTGGCAGTCCCGCCCTCTACTCCAGTACTTCCTGTTCCCGACTACCCCTGGCTGGGAGCCGGGGCCCCTAGAGTGACCGTGGACGGAGTGACCCTGCGAGGCTGCGCGGACCGGGGTGCGCAGCGAAGTCAGACCGCAGGCAGGAGGGCGGCGCTTGGGCCTCGCGCAGCCGGTGCGGGTCCAGGCGGGCCGCGGGGCTGGGCTGACTGCTGTCTCGGGATGCCAGGGGAGGAGGAGGAGCGGGCCTTCCTGGCTGCCCGCGAGGAGCTGGCTAGCGCCCTGCGGAAGGATTCCGGGCAGGCGTTTTCCCTGGAGCAGCTCTGGCCGCTGCTGGTCACCTCTCTGCCGCCATCCGCCCGCTACCAGCAGCTGGACGCCGCACGCCTGATCCGCTGCAATGCTCACGGGCAGGTGAGGCCGGGCACCGCTGGGGAGGGGGACCGAGAATCTGAGCCCGAGCTAGGCGCTCACAGCTCTCTGCTCTGTGACTGCTCTCAGCCCCAGACCTACCTCGGCACCCTTTCCACGGCCCTGAACATCCTGGAGAAATATGGCCGCAACCTCCTCAGCCCTCAGAGACCGCGTTACTGGCGCGGAGTCAAGTTTAATAACCCCGTCTTTCGAAGTACGGTGGATGCTGTGCAGGTGAAGCCCCTGGAGTCCCTTATGGGAGAAAGGACTTGGGCTTGGGCTAGGGAGGGGCGGGGGGGGGGGGGTGTAGAAAGGGCCTGAGCAGAATGGGAAGGGGTTCAGCCCTGTTGGGAAGAGGGCCTGCTGGGTGTTGACTGGTTGTGAATGTGTGGCAGGGGGGCCGGGATGTTCTGCGATTGTATGGCTACACCGAGGAGCAGCCGGATGGGTTGAGCTTCCCCGAGGGGCAAGAGGATCCAGATGAGCACCAAGTGGCTACAGTCACCCTGGAAGTACTGTTACTTCGGACCGAGCTCAATCTGCTGTTAGAGGTGAGGTTTCTCAGGTCTTGAGGGCTTAAGCACCAGGGCTGGGAAGGTCTGCCTAACTCCAAAGCCAGCCTAGGGATTCCCATGCTACTAAGCCCTGGGCACAGTCCCCTCAGCAATCTGGGAGCTACCCTTACTGTTCTTCCTGTGAATGTTGGGGAACCAGGTCTTAGAGGGACTGTAGGTGGGAACTCTTCTTTATCTTGTTTACAGAATAATCATCCAAGACAGCAAACACTGGAGCAGCTGCTGAATGACAAAGCGGAAGATGATGCGAGGAAGGCAGGAATGGGGCTTTGGGGCCTGGTGAACAGAGTGGACAGGGGTTGGGGACTCTCCAAACCCTTGCCCATTCCCTGCCCTTTTTCCTCAGATGCTACAGCTCTCAGAGTTTGCCCCCCTACTGAGAGAGATTGCTCCTGGCCCCCTCATCACACCCTCTGCCCCAGGTATTATTGGTCCTATCTTGGGAGGGGTAGGGTTAGTAGACCGTATGGATGGAAATTTGGAGCCCTTCTCTGTCTACCTTCTTGGTTATCTTTCTTTTTTAAAAAGAGGTTAAAATGGTTTCCTTAAGTCCAGATATGTGGAAAGTAGTCTGTGACTGGTTCCCCCCTCTCCCCCCCCCTGCCCCCGCCCCAAATCACATTCAGATGTAACCTGGCCTTTTTCAGAAAGATGTTCTATTCTTTCTCTCCTGTTTTCCAGGCTCCACTCCTGGTCCTTGCTTCCTCTGTGGTTCTGCCCCAGGCACACTGCACTGCTCAGCCTGTAAACAGGCCTTGTGCCCAGCTTGTGATCGCCTGTTCCATGGGCACCCATCCCGTGCCCATCACCTCCGCCAGACCTGGGCCCCTCACGCTGCCCACTTGACCCCTAGGTGAGAGGCCTTCTCTTCTGGGAGGGAGTGAAATTGAGAGAACTTACAATTATTTGAGAATTTTCTGTGTACCATATTCTGTGCTAAAGACTGTCTTATAGAGGGCAAGTAGCTAGTAATTGCCCTCCAGGAGATCACAGACATACATGTTAAGCAAGTAGCAGTCACAACAAGATAGATTATCATGGTGTGCAAATAGGTAATAGGAGGATGCAACCCAGTCTGAAGATCAGCTCAATCAGCTGACAGTGTTTTAAGCACCTAGATGGGTCAGGCCCTATGTTAGGGATCTCTATCAGCAAGATGTAAACTTTAAGCTGTCATTTAAGTGTTGAATAGGCTACGGGTATGGGAGTGTTCCAGATAGAACAAAATGTGCGAAGGCAAGAGCCATGTATCATGCAGGGAATGAGGGATGCCCAGGGTGGGGGACCCAAGCACCAGGGGACCCCCCCCCCCTTCAGCAGGCCATGTCTGCTTTTTCCATTGCAGCTTACCTGCCGCAGCTCCACCACTGCCCCAGCTAACCTCCTTGCTGGCCCTCGGAGATAACTCTCTTTCGTCCCCTGATCCTGCAAGTGCCCGTCTATCCTGGCACTGTGCCACCTGTTCCGTGCTAAATAAACCTTGGGCAGTGCTCTGTGAGGCCTGTGATCGGCCCAGAGGTTGTAAGGGATTGGGGCTGGAGATTGAGGGTCCCCAAGGAGCTGGCGGCCTAGAACCTGAACTTGCACGGGGTCACTGGGCCTGCCAGAGCTGCACCTTTGAGAATGAGCCAGCGGCTGTGCTGTGTGCCATGTGTGAGCGACCTCGGCTGGCTCAGCCTCCTAGCTTGGTGGTGGATTCTCAGGATGGTGGCATTTGCCTGCAGCCCCTTCAGGTAACCTGTTCCTGGCCTTCCCGGCTCTTTATTTGCACCTGTTACCATAAGCCATTCTCTACCTCTTCATCCCTGGTTTTCCATCAGTTTCCCCTTATCTTCCAACCCGCTCCCAACATTTCCATCTTGAGCCTCAGCCAACTTTCAATGGGATAATTCTTTCTGCCTTCCCAGCAGAGAGATACTTTGCTCTCCTCTGCCCAGACTTCGATCTGGTACTGTATTCACTGTACCTTCTGCAATTCGGGCCCTGGCTGGGTATGTGCTATGTGTAACCGGACCAGCAGCCCCATCCCAGTAAAGCATGCCTCCCGGCCCAATGCCAGCTCTTTGGAAGAGCGACTCCCCAATCCAGAGCCTCCACGACGCCTCAGTGCCCCTCTGCCCAGTTCCTGTGGGGACCCTGAGAAGCAGCGCCAAGACAAAATGCGCCAAGACAAGATGCGGGAGGAAGGTCGTCAGCTAGTGATCAAGATCCGGGTGAGGATTTGGGCCTGGGATGAGGTGGGGCTGAGCTGGTGGGGGAAGGATAGGCTGCAGTCAAATAATATGAATTCTTATAAATCTGGTGATTGTTAGCCACAGCTACTTGTTATTGAACATATTGAACACTTCGCATATGATAGGTGTCATGCTTAGCTCCGCTCACATGATCATAGTCTGAGCTCAACCACTGTCAGCATTTTGGTGCTGTCTGAGGGGGGATGGAGGGCACCTTCCTGATCAACCCTCTGTCTGTGCCTTAGGAAGGAGAAGCCGCAGGCGCCTGTCCAGAGGAGGTCTTCTCTGCTCTGCAGTACTCTGGCACCGAGGTGCCCTTGCAGTGGTTGCATTCAGAGCTGCCCTACGTGCTGGAGATGGTGGCTGAACTGGCTGGACAACAGGACCCTGGGCTAGGTGCCTTTTCCTGTCAGGAGGCCCAGAAAGCCTGGCTGGATCGTCATGGCAATCTTGATGAAGCTGTGGAAGAGTGTGTGCGGGTCCGGCGCAGGAAGGTACCAGCTGTGCTGCAGGTGGGATAGGGTTGAAGGTTGTAGGTCAGAGCCTCTCATATTCTCTCCTTTGCTTGCTTTTTCCCTCTTTATTCCTTCTCTCCACTCCCAACTCCCAGGTGCAGGAGCTCCGGTCCCTGGGCTTTGGGCCTGAGGAGGGGTCTCTTCAAGCATTGTATCAACACGGGGGTGACGTGGCACGGGCCCTGACTGAGCTACAGCGTCAGCGCCTAGAGCCCTTCCATCAGCGCCTCTGGGACAGTGGCCCGGAGCCCACCCCTTCATGGGACAGTTCAGATAAGCAGGTGCTGGGAGGAGGTGAAGAGGCACATGGAGGGGGAGAGGGAAGGCTGAAGGATAGAAATGGGTCTGACAGCCACTTCTTCCCTCTCCACCTGAATCATATTGCAGAGCCTGGTCAGACGACTTTTGGCAGTCTACACACTCCCCAGCTGGGGCCGGGCAGAGCTGGCGCTATCGCTGCTGCAGGAGACACCCAGGAACTATGAATTAGGGGATGTGGTAGAAGCTGTGAGGCAGAGCCAAGATCGGGCCTTTCTGCGTCGCTTGCTTGCCCAGGAATGTGCTGTGTGTGGTTGGACCCTGCCCCGCAACCGGGTAAGCCCGTCACACTGAACCTGGCCTCAGAGTGACTCTCGTTCCCTTTAGACCCCCACTCTACTCCAGCCTGTCTCTGATCATCTTTTGCTCTACAGCTGCCCATGTGCCCCTGAAGGCTTCTGGGAAGGGGAGGAAAAATTAGACCACCTCTCCCAATCCCCATTTTTTAATGTTCTATTATGGAAAATTTCAAACATACAATGGTAGAGAAAATTGTATCACAGATTCTCTTCTCCACTCTCCACCATGTATTCATGACTAGGCTTCAGCAATTATAAATGTATGGCCACTGTTTATTTCTCCACACACACAGGATTATTTTGAAGCAAATCTCAGGCATCATATGGCTTATCTGCTAATATTTCAGTATGTATCTCTAAAATATAAAACACTTTGAAAACATAGCCACAAATACAATGTCACATCCAAAAAGTTAACAGTAATTCTTTTTTTTTTTTTTAAACATATTTTATTGATTTTTTACAGAGAGGAAGGGAAAGAGATAGAGAGTTAGAAACATCGATGAGAGAGAAACATCGATCAGCTGCCTCCTGCACATCTCCCACTGGGGATATGCCCGCAACCCAGGTACATGCCCTTGACCGGAATCGAACCTGGGACCTTTCAGTCCGCAGGCCGATGCTCTATCCACTGAGCCAAACCGGTTTCGGCAACAGTAATTCTTTAATAACATCATCAAATATCCATTTTGGCCCTGGCCTGTTTTTCTCAGTGGTTAGAGCATTGGCCTGCAAACCTAGGGGTCACAGGTTTGATTCCCAGGTCAAGGGCACATACCAGTCAAGGGCACAGACCTCATACCTTATACCTCAGTTGCAGGTTCCCTAGCTCCAGTAGGGGCATGTGTGGGAGACAACCAATCAGTGTGTCCCTCATGTTGATGTTTCTCTCTCCCCCCTCCCTCCCTCCCTCTCACTCTCTCTAGAAATCAATGGAAAAAAATGTCCTTGGGTGAGGATAAAAAAACACACAATAGTATATATATATATATATAAGGCTAATATGCTAAGTGTCCATCCAGGTAATGACATCACATAGCAACACCCGGTTTCCTCTCCCTAGTGACTAGCCTCCTTGCAGTTTCTTCAGCCCAGGAACACGACTTGCTTTATAGCCAGGTGGAAACATTTCACACTGTAACCAAATGTCTGTGAAGCATTTCCCATGCCTCATCTCATTTGATCCTCACCGAAGTCCTGGAGTAGGTAGATAGGAGACTCGGTGGAATCCTGTTTTCTTTTCATTAGCCGGAAAATGGAGATTACCAAGTTTAGAAACTTGACCCGTCTGAAAAGAAGTAAGAAATAGTGGACCTTGAAAATGACTTCAGGTTGCCTCACTGCACAGAATATATTTTACCCTTTGTTCTCCCTGTGTGATGTACAATAATCTGCTGCGTGTTGATATTTACTGCTGTGTTGCTGACAATTACCTGGAAGAGAAGTTGGGGGGCTTCACTGGACTGGAAAAAGTTTAGCTAAATGAGAAAGCAGGTCTAATTAAGCAAATTTATTCTATATCTATAAAAGGCTAAGTTGACTCATGTATGTGCGATACATATAAAGCTCTCGCTAGCGCCAATCGCACGCGTGTGTTTTGATCTGTCATTGTCGGTCGTGAATTTGGTTGATACTTCTATTATAGAGAAAGGGCGAATAGCGATATTAAAATATTTCTTCTAATTAATTTCCTTTCAATGTGCACAAATTCATGCACCGGGCCACTAGTAATAAAATAAATTAACAGGAGTAACTTTTTTAAAAAATCCATTTTGTAGAAAAAGGCCCCTTCTCATCTCCTGAGCCCCCACTTATTTTAGGTGAAAACTGGCAGTTCTTTGGCTAAATACAGTCCAATTTAGTTAGGCTCACTTGGTATACTTTTTGTTTTGTTTTTACTCTATTTAAGATAATTGTGTATATATAAAATAATTGTAGACTCATAGGAGGTTGTAAAAATTGTACAGAGTCCTGTGTGCTCTTCACTCACCTTACCCCAAGATGACTTCTTATATAATTATAGTATAAGATGAAGTCCAAAAAATAGAAATGTATACATTGTTTGCTAGACTGCAGACCTAGTTTGTTTTTTCATGGATGTGTATATATGTGGTTCTATGCTATTTTAACCCATGTAACTACCACCACCTCCACAATTCAAGGTACAGACTGTTCCATCACCACAAAGAAATTACCTCATGCTGCCTTTTTGTAGTTGTATATACACAACTTTGTCCCTTTCTCCTGTCACCTGGAAATCACTAATCTGTTCTCTATCTCAGTTATTTTGTCATTTCAAGATTATTTGTGTGTTAGCTTTTTAAAAAATGTTTTTGTTAATCATCACCCGAGGATATTTTTTCCATTGAATTTTTAGGGAGAATGGAAGGGAGGGGGAGGGACCGAGAGAGAAACATCAATGTGAGAGAGACACATCCATTGGTTGCCTCCTGCAGCACCCTGATCCAGGGCTGGGGATCAAGCCTGCAACTGAGGTACATGCACTTACTGGAATCAAACCTGGAACCTTTCAATCCGTGGGCCAACACTCTATCCACTGAGCCAAACCAGCTAGGGCGAGGGCTAGGGCTTTTTTATGTTTTTATTGACTAGAGAAAGAGGAAGGGAGAGGGAGAGAGAAATAGAAACATCGACGAGAGAGAATCATCGATTGACTGCCTCCTGCATGCCCCACACTGGGAATTAGACTCCAACCCTGGGCATATGCCCTGACCTGGAATTGAACCGGCAACCTCTTTGTGCATGGGGCGATGCTCAACCAACTTGAGTCACACTGGCTGGGCATATGTGTTAGCTTTTAATTGATGTGAATACCTTTAGAGGACATTGGTTAATTTACCTTAGTTTTACCATTGTCTGTTTTCCTCCACCTGACAGTCTTCAGACATTTAGGTTGCCTGCCTGGCACTTGTTGGCATATGAGGCTGCTACCCCTGGCCAGTTGTTAACTAGTGATTTCTCAGTGAACACCTAGCTACATCCCCTTCCTCAGGCTGGCAGCTGTGGCTTCTGACCCCCTTCTCTCCCCGCTCACCCTCTAGATGCAGGCTCTGACTTCTTGTGAATGCACCATCTGTCCTGACTGTTTCCGTCAGCACTTCACCATCGCCTTGAAGGAGAAGCACATCACTGACATGGTGTGCCCTGCCTGTGGCCGCCCCGACCTTACCGATGACACACAGTTGCTCAGCTACTTCTCTACTCTTGACATCCAGGTACTGCAGATTCTGGGACTCAGGGTGCCCTGGGCTCTGAATAGGAACCCTGCCCACACACCACTTCTGCATTCTGTCCCCAGCTTCGAGAGAGCCTGGAGCCAGATGCCTATGCCCTGTTCCATAAGAAGCTGACTGAGGCTGTGCTCATGCGGGACCCCAAGTTCTTGTGGTGTGCCCAGGTAAGTGGCCTGCCCAGCAGAGCTGACGAGAGGGTCAGGGGTGGTGCCAAGTCAGGCCTCGGATAGCTTTATGCTCTTGCACCCACAGTGCTCCTTTGGCTTCATATACGAGCGTGAGCAGCTGGAGGCAACATGTCCCCAGTGTCGCCAGACCTTCTGTGTACGCTGTAAGCGCCAGGTGAGGCACATCCGTCCTTCCAGAAATACCTGCTGCACGCTGGAGGTACTCTGTTAGACTCGGGGGATCCTGGAGAACAGAACAGACACGAGCTCTGGGCTCAGAGTGCTGACAGACTAGGCGGGAGGAGGGGTGAGAAGAAGGAAGGATGAGGGAGATAGAAGAAGCAGCTTGAGGGGGGAAGAAGGATGAAAGGGGAGGAAAGATGGAGGGAGGAGGGATGAAAGGTAAGGTAAAGGAGGAAGGGTGGCAGTGAGGGAGGGAAGGAAAGAAAATGAAGGGAGAAAGAGCATAATTATACAAGGGCGTAAGTTCTGTGAAGAAAATAGGAATCTGAGATTAGGAATAATGGAATGGACCTACTTAGGATAGAGAGGTCAAGTCTACTCTAAAATGGTGTAATTTAAGCTCAGGCCTGAAAATTAAGAGGAAGAAGAGGAAGTCAACTATGCAAAGATTATTGGGACAGAAAGAGCAGCACATGGAAAGGCCAAAGTCAGAAGAAAGTGTGTGGTTGGAGCCTCAAGAGCAGGGGTGAGAGTGGCAGGCAGTCAGAGAGGAGCGAGCTGCCTGATCAGGAGAGGCCTGGGGCCAAGTGAGGAAGGTATTTGCTTTTCATCCTAAGACCAAGCAAGAGGTGATACGAGTTCATTTATCTTTTAAAAACTTTAATGTTTGATACAAAAAAATTGCATCTATATTACGAGACACAGTAAGTCCCTGAGCCCTAACTGTATAGCTCAGTTGGTTGGTTGGAGTGTCATATCCTGATACGCCAAGGTTGTGGGTTCAATCCCTGGTCAGGGCACATGCAAGAGTCAGCCATTGAGTGCATAAATAAGTAGAACAACAAACCAGTATTTCTCTCTTCCTTCCTCTCTCTCTCTCAAGTCAATTAATAAATAATTTAAAACAACGCAAAAAACCTTGAGATCCTACCACCAAACCTCAAAACTAGGACACTCCCTATTCTGTTGAAGCTGCCTAACTTACACATTTTTTCCCCAAAGAGTTTAGAGACGTTCTTTAAAGTATTTTATTGATTTCTCTTTTTTTAGTGTATTTTTATTGATTTCAGAGAGGAAGGGAGAGGGAGAGAAACATCAGTGATGAGAGGGGAAAAAAATCATCGATAGGCTGCCCCCTGCACGCCCCTCACTAGGGATCAAGTCCACAACCCAGACATGTGTCCTTAACCTGAATTGAACCAGGACCCTTCAGTCTGAGAGCCAAGGCTCTATCCACTGAGCCAAACCAGCTAGGGCTGCCTGACTTACACTTTCAAAGGCATTTTGACTGCAAGGTTGACGATGAACCAAAGGGAAGTCTGAGTGGAGGCAGAGCAGCTAGTAACTGAGGCAAGTAATTGAGGCAAGACCGGACCTGGCCCAGAGGAAGATGGTCACAGTAGGATGAAGAGAAAGGTCAGGGTTGTGAATAGACATGGTTACAATGTTAGCTCGGCTTGGGTGTTAGAAACAAGACTTGCTGGTGAGTCTATGGTGGTATGAGGACATGAAAGCCCCAAGGCTGGCCCCTCAGTTTGGGATGAGAGCAAATGGTGAATGGGAGTGCCATAAACTAAGCCTGGGACACTGGATATGAGTAGAAGGGCCTAAGAGCTCTATGTGACTCTTGCTTTCCTCCTCACAGTGGGAGGAGCAGCACCGGGGCCGGAGCTGTGAGGATTTCCAGAACTGGAAACGCAACAATGACCCAGAATACCAGGCCCAGGGCCTGGCGATGTACCTTCAGGAAAATGGCATTGGTAAGGTTGCCCCACTAGCCCTGTTTGCCCAGTAATCTATCATTGCCAGTGGCTCTCTTCCTGAAAGCCTCGAGGAGCAGTGGCAGCCCTAGCCCTGACCTGCTGTTCCTTGCAGACTGCCCCAAGTGCAAGTTCTCGTATGCACTGGCCCGAGGAGGTTGCATGCACTTTCACTGTACCCAGTGCCGCCACCAGTTCTGCAGTGGATGCTACAATACCTTTTACGCCAAGAATGTGAGCCTAGAGAATGGGGACGGGAGGGATAACAGGGTAGGGGGCTGCCAGTGGGTGTGAGGGGTAGAGGCCACTAAGGAGCAGCCCAGGGGAAGAGCAGAGGAGGCTGGTGGGTGTAAATTACCTCTCTCTGTCCCCTTTCCCCTCTGCTTGCTCCAGACCCTCCAGTGTCTCCATCTACCCCCACCCCTACACCCCTCATGCAGGGGTTCCTGAGAGGCCAGGACCCCAACAGTCTCCAACTTCCCCTCTCCTATCTGGGTTTCTGCCAGAAATGTCCAGAGCCTAACTGCAGAGTGAAAAAGTCCCTGCACGGACACCATCCCCGAGACTGCCTCTTCTACCTGCGGGACTGGAGTGCTCTCCGGCTCCAGAAGCTGCTACAGGTGAGGGGTGGCCAACCAGCCTGGGTTTGCAGGTTGCCCAGGAGAGGGGGCAGGGCCTAGGATCCAGCGGGCTGGCATCAAGGATAACCTAACACCCCCCATCTGCTCCTTCTCAGGACAATAAGGTCATGTTCAACACAGAGCCCCCAGCGGGGGCCCGGGCAGTCCCTGGAGGTGAGTGTCGGTCAGGACAAACCTTGGAGAAGGGGAGAGGGTGGCTGGGCACACACTGTGCAGTGAGTATAGGGGAAGTTTCAGCTTCTGAGCTGAAGACTCATCCTGTGCTGACTTTGTGCCCATTGGCGAGTTAACCTTGTTTCTTCCTCTGTAAAATGGGGGTAATATTCACTTTTCAGCTCGGTTGTTTTACATGAGGCCACATTAAAGCATCTAGCACCTTGATCCTAACTTTCTTCTCCCATTCCCAAAGGTTAATGTTTCATTAACTGAGTGAGTATTTACTGACACTTGCTAGTTGCACTGTCTTAGGTTCCATGAGGGCAACAGAAAGATGTTACATATGGTTCTAATATGCCCTACTTCTTACCATCTACACAGAGTAAGACCTTCACAGAATAAGTTAACTATGCAAGAGCTAAGTCACAAAAGAATTGTCTCAGGGCGTATGTGATTATAGGCTAAAAGGCGGCTTGGATAAAAGCAGGGCAACAAGGTCCTGCTTCTGTATCAGAGCTGGTTTGCCATGATGGCATCTCTAAGTACCCCCACCACCACCACCACCGTTTGAGCAGGGGCTCCTGTCCCCCAGCCCCTCCCTGGAGGCTGCCTCCCTTGCTTCTATCCCAGTTCTCTAAGGCTTGGTTGTCAGTGGCCTTTTCCCAACAAAGGATCTTTTTCTGCCCTTACCCATAGGTGGCTGCCGAGTGATGGAGCAGAAGGAGGTTCCCAATGGGCTCCGGGACGAAGCTTGTGGCAAGGAGACGCCAGCTGGCTATGCCGGCCTCTGCCAGTAAGTGCCAGGCTGGGAGCATGATGCTGGGGAGTACTGAGGGTGTGCCCAGGCAATAAAGTGGGTCTCTGGGAGCAGTAGGTCCTACAAGGCGTAGGAGGGAGGGGCTTTCTGGACAAGGGCCTGGATAGGTAGCAGCAAGCAATGTGCTCAGGTAGGCATGCGTTCACAGGTGAAGGTTGTCAATCTTATTCATCCACGTATACCTGGGCACACTCAGTTACTACTAGCCAAACAGAAGAACAAATCTCCCACCTTCTAATCTCCTCAGGGCACACTACAAAGAGTATCTTGTAAGCCTCATCAATGCCCACTCACTGGACCCAGCCACTCTGTATAAGGTGGAGGAGCTGGAGACAGCTGTCGAGCGCTACCTGCATGTGCACCCACAGCCCCTGGCTGGGGAGGATGCCCCTGCCTACCACGCCCGCTTGTTACAGGTGAAGCTTCCTCCACAACCTCACCTCTGATCCTATGCTCTGAAAGTCCCCTGTCCAGTCTGTGTCTGAGCTCCAGGCCTCCAGGATTATCATCATCATCATCATCATCATCTCTCTCTCTCTGCAGAAACTGATGGAAGAGGTACCCTTGGGACAGAGTATACCCCGCAGGAGGAAGTAGCTGAGGGCGAGGGTCCTGATGAGGGTCCCACGTCCTCAGGAACAGCTCCAGCACCAATAAAGAGGCATCTCCTTGCCCAGGCTTCTTGGTGGTCCTTCTTCCTGACCCCACTATCTGGGGGCACCAGGGAAAAAGGGGGGTGAACAGAGCTTTGCTGAAAGGGCCCCTACAGCCCACCACTTGATCTTCCCTGGACCCAGGACCAGAAAGGAATTGATATCATGGCTGACAAAGGGAGGTCCTCCCTGTCCAGCCACTTGGCCATGGGCTGATTTCTTCCATCCCTGCTTCTCTTCCTTTCATCAAATTCAGCTGATACTTAAGGCACCTAATAGGTACTAAGCAGGCACCATCAGGGCACAGATGCTTAGGTGGTACAGAGCTATCCAGACGCCCTGGGGACAGACCAGCACACCAGGACCTCCCTGGGGAAGCAGCAGTGTCACAGAGATGGTCGGACACAAGCAAGGAGTAGCTGAGGGAGGAAGGAGAATGAGCCTGCGTTCTGATGGTTCCTCCTGCGTCTGAGATTTTCAAATGCTGCTCCCCCTGGTGGCCTCTCATTGCCCTGCAACTCAGGCCACGTGATTTCGGGGAAACGGACCTCCCAGGAGGAGAAGTGAAACTTAGGGAGGGGACTGTAGAAACAGGGCGGAGTTACAGGAAGCTTCCCAGCCTGGAGCTGAGCTGAGCTCAGCTGAGCCCTGTAGCAGCCTGCACAGCCGCTCAGGTAAGAAGATCAACCAAGAATTGGTGGTAGCCTGGGTAGAAAGCTGGAAGGCCCAGCCACTTGGGAGGAGGGTGAGGTTTCCTGGGGTCCCCTCTGCGAGACTGAGGCGTAGACTAAAGGCCTGTGAGCCAGGAAGCAGGAGGCTGGCCTGAGTGAGAGATTGACCAGGGTCTGTGTCCCGAGCGACAGGCAAAGGCCCAGAGGACCTGCCGCTGGGTTCGGGGAAGGAGACTGGTGGCTCCAGGGCACTTGGCCCTGTTTGTTTTCTTGCCTTCAGGGCCTGCCTACTTCTGCTCTGGCCCTGCCCCTGCCCCCTGCCCTGCCCCACCTACCCCTAGGGGCAAGCAGAGGGGTGTGGTGGGGGTCATAAGACAGGTGGGGATGGTGGGTGAAGACGCCTCTGCAAATGTTTAGGGATCTAGACTGAGCCTCTCACCAGGAACAGAACACCAAGGGAATTCTCTTCCAAACAGTGGATTCCCAAAAAGTGCTTTTTTTTTTTTTTAATGTATTGATTTTAGAGAAAGAGGAAAGGAGAGAAACATCGATTTGTTCAGCTTATCTATGCATTCATTGGTTCATTGTTGTCTGTGTCCTGCCAGCATTGAACCTGCAACTTTAGTGTATAGTGACTATGCTCTAAGCAACTGAGCTACCCAGCCAGGGCATATTCCTGAAAAGTCTTAAAATTAAGACCAGTACCCAAGGTTTCCTTCCAGATGTCACAGCTTGGGGTGTTAAAAAAAAAGCATAATTTTTGGTAAATGCCAGTAATGTCAGAAACAAAGCTATTTGGCCTCAGGAGTATTTTGAGCTACAGAAAAAGATGGATGGGCTCTTTGGAGGCCCTTGCCAGAATACAAACCAAATGGCCAAGACTTCAGCCGATGTTTCCTCCCAAAGGGTTGGTTGGTTCTACTTATGCTGCCTGCTGCTCTTATTCCCAGGATGGCATCGGGCCGGGCACGCTGCACCCGAAAGCTCCGGAACTGGGTGGTGGAGCAAGTGGAGAGTGGACAGTTCCCAGGGGTGTGCTGGGATGATGAAGCTAAGACTATGTTCCGGATTCCCTGGAAGCATGCAGGCAAGCAGGACTTCCGGGAGGACCAGGATGCTGCCTTCTTCAAGGTGAATGGACCTGGGACCAACGCCCCCCCCCCCCCCCCCCCCCGGTCCAAGTGAGGGATAGAGTGGACACTGATGCCCAAGGGCTGTGCCTGCCTGGGTGTCAGATAAAGGGGAGAGTAGAGGATTGAACCAGCTACATGACTGTCAGAGCCCAGCGCAAGATGAAAATGCACAAATTACTAAGGATTTCAGAGTGGCAACAACGGAGCATAAACCCAGCACAAGCCTTCCTGTGCAGCTGCTCAGGCTGCACATCCATGAAGCTGGCCCTGTGGCGTGTCAGCTGCGGTCTGTAACATGCCTCTCTGCACTTCGTCTGTTTCCTAGGCCTGGGCAATATTTAAGGGAAAGTACAAGGAGGGAGACACAGAAGGCCCCGCTATCTGGAAGACTCGTCTACGCTGTGCTCTCAACAAGAGCCCTGAATTTGAGGAGGTTCCTGAGAATAGCCATAGGGATGGGGCTGAGCCCTACAAGGTGTATCGGCTGCTGCCACCAGGAACCCTCCTCGGTGAGTGTCCCCTAGAATAAGCAGCGTAGGGAGGAAGGGTGGAGATGAGCTCCTGGGAGCGTGGCGGGACTCCCTCCAGGCCCCGCAGTCAGAGTTCTACCTTGTCCCTATCCTCGGGGAGCTGCCACTCTGGTACCCTGGTTCCCCTGCCCAGGCCTGCCCATCCTTTCACTGCCTCCTAGCTCTCCCCTACCCTCTGCCCCCCCTTAAGGCTCTGACCTCTCTCTCCCCCTCAACAACATTCCACAGCCGCACCAGCAACACAGAAATCGCCCGCAAAGAGACACCACAGCTCAGTGTCCCCTAAGAGGGAGGAGGATGAGGGTACCACAAAGAGCTGTATACTCAGTCCTGCCTTGCTTCAGGACTCCCTTGAAAACGTAAGAGCTGGGGGAGGGAACTGGGTGGGCCTGAGGGCAGGACAGCAACTGGGGGGAAAAGGGGTCAACAATAGATACCGTGTTTACAGGAGAAGGTAGAGGCCAATGGAGCAGCAGGCCATTCAGACTCTGGATGCAGCAGCAGCTGCAGCAACAGCAACAGCCCTGAGCCTCAGGAAGGTACCACCTCTGCGCCTCTCGTCATCCCCCACGCCACACCCTCTGGCCCTGGGACTCCAGTCCCACTCCGAAATGAGTGCCTTTTCTCCCTTCCAGGTGCAGACACAAATGAGGCCCCTTTCCAAGGAGATCCGGTGTCTCCGGAGCTTCTGCCCCCTCCAGGCTCAGGTACTTAGCACGTCTAACTTATCCCTGCTCACTGTCGCCACGGGTCACCTTCCTGTGGCTGTACATGCATTATCTAATGTCAGGCTTGCGGCGACTTGGGCTCACCTTACCCAGACAGAGGCACTGGTTTCTAGGCAGTGTACCTGGCCAGCTACAGACTCCAAGCAGCTTGCTCCTCAGAAATACCCCCTATACATTCTGTTCCCTGGAAATCCACTTTGAGACATGGATTTCTGTAGAAAGACCAAATCTCTTGGATTTTCTTATAAACTTGAGGCCCCGGTGGGAATCTGGTTGTTGGCTACTCTCCCGAGTGATAGGGAAGTCTGACAGGAGGCCCCTTGCCGGGGAGGCTGAGGGGAAGGAGGATGAGGAGTGACGGGGCCTTCTCTAAACTCAGGAGGGGTAGCCGCTGTCCCCGCTCCACAGCCTGCTTTGTCCTCCCCAACCCTTGCCTGGTTTCCTGTCTGGGCCTCACGTTCCTCAGCAGCAAAACGAGGACATTTGATTTGCAAGAGCCCCTCTTTGTTTCCCCAGAGCCTATGCTGACCAGGTATATGTCCCCTTGGGGAGAGGCTCTTGGTGCAGTCGGTTGCTCTCTGTCCACAGACTACTCCCTGATGCTCACCTTCATCTACGATGGTCACGTGGTGGGCGAGGCCCAAGTGCAGAGCCTGGACTGCCGCCTGGTGGCCGAGCCCTCCAGCTCCCACTGCAGCATGGAGCAAGTGGTATTTCCCAAGCCCAGCCCGCAAGGACCCACCCAGCGCCTGCTGAGCCAGCTCGAGAGAGGTGTCATGGTGGCTAGCAACCCCAGAGGCCTCTTTGTTCAGAACCTTTGCCCCATCAGCATCTCCTACAGTGCGCCCGAGTTCCCACCTGGTCCACGCCCGCATACGCTGCGCAGCAACGAGTATGTGGAGCTCTTCAAAACCGCCCACTTCTGCAGAGGTGAGGCTGCTGCAGCCCAGCTCCTGACCTCCCCTCGCCCCCGTTAGTCTGCTCTGTACTCTTCCCCTTGCACTTCCTCCAGCAGATCCACCATCACAGTCCATGGATGGCACCCTGCACTTGCTGGTGCACATCCTGTGAGGCCCTGTGCTCAGCCGTGGCAGCTGCCTGGCAGCCTTCCTTCCGCAGTCCATGCCGCGGAAGACGAGGCTCAGGTGGAGTCCAGCACAAGAGCATCACAGCTCAGAGAGCACCATCACATGGACGTATACAGTAATCATGGGAAGGTGCACCTCGTGGGCCTCTCCTACACTCACGCACACACGCCCACACATTCAGGAGAGCTGACACGTGTCACACACTCTGGCCCTACCACACTCCGGGCGTCCCCTCAAATTACCCCTTTCCCATCCACACTTGGAATTTCATTTCCTGCCTCCATTCAACTCTAAATCTGGCCTTGGAAGTGGGGCCAGGAGTACAGGGACACAGAGCTTGAGTGTTTCCTGGGCCATGGGTGCCCTGACACAGGCAAGATAGTATGAGCAGGCAACCAAGGTGTGCGAACATGTGTGTGAGCAGCCAAGGCTGCTGCTGAGAAGACGCTAAACTCCCAGCAGTGAACATGTCAGGTGGTGTAGAGTCGGCTACCGCTAAGTACTTCCTGCTGGAGGAAGGAGTACTTTTTCCTATCTGCACATGGGCGAGTACCACTTAGTCCTAGCATTTCTCCTGCACAAGGCAGCAGGCGTGTGACCCTGTAGCTCCTGTTCTGGCCTTCATCTCCAGGTGGCCCCACTGCCACCTCTCTTTCTCCATTATGGGTTCTTCCCTGTTCCCTCCCTCCCTGCCTATGGCCCTCTCCCTTCTCTTTTTATTCTTCCAACTCTTACCTTCTCTCTTTCAGACTTGGAGAGGTACTTCCGGGGCCTGGGCCCCCCACCCAAGTTCCAGGTGACACTGAATTTCTTAGAGGAGGACCCTGACCCCAGCCACACCCCACAGAGTCTTATCTCAGTTCAGGTGAGTCCAGGGCAGGGTGAGAATAGCTGCCTGTGTAGGCGAGGGGGTCCAGGAGAAGGGCTCTGGGGTGGGCAGGGGTGGGGGCTGCCCTGCTGTGCTCATGATGCCCTCTTCCCTCCTCTTCTGGCGCAGATGGAGCAGGCCTTCGCTCGGCATTTACTGGCAGAGCGTCCAGAGGACCAGGCGGCCGCTCTGTCCCTGGTGCAGAGCCTGGAAGACCTATCTTCCTCCTCTCTGCTCGGTTCTTCCTGTTTTCTCTGAAAGACTCATTCTCACACTGTGGACCTGCCTCCCTCGGTGATAATTCTTAGTGGTTGTCTGTGATGGTATGTCCTTCAACTCCTCATGGTGTCTGGCTGGTTTTTAGCCACTTTTTTATTTGTTTGTTTTGATTTTTGAGATATACCCTCTTTTATCTCTGAGGAACTGAACTGGGGAAGTCCAAATGGTGTGAACTCAGGGGGACCATTTCCTCTTCCCCCAGCCCTAAAGCCAAGCACTTTATATTTTCTTTTTAAAATAAAATTTTATTGAAAAAGGAATCCGGATCTGATTTGTTTGGAAGATAAAGTAGCAGGGGTCACAGAGATAACCGAGATGCAACATGAGAGTCAGGCACTGGGGTTTTCTTCCTGCTGGCATCTCTGGGCCCCCTTCCTCTCCTCCACCCACAGGTTCTGTCAAGGAACAGTCTGAGCACTGCGGGTTTGCGGCCTGGCTTCTGTACCTTCTACCCAGGATTAGGGTCAGGGTCAGCCCCCAAAAGGGACACTGAGACTACAGCCACCAACTTTACATGAGAAGATCCTGGGCTCCATAGTTCTTCGCTAGAGCCGTCTGATTTGGGCCTTACAATGGGCCTAGAGTTGGACTCTAGATTGGAGGTATGAATGAACAGAGCTTGAAGTTGACCTGACACCATGGCCCAGAGGCCTTGGGGCCTGCTGGGAGGGGAAATCAGAGGGAGGAGTCTGGCCAAGACTGCTGTGTCACCAACACTCTGTTCACAGATTTGAGGGGTCCAAATAAGCTTTCCTCACCCCATGTTTATTTGCCACCAAACTGGACATTTTTTCTTCACAAGGTCACTTGTCATCCTTCTTTTCTGTGTATAATCAATTCCAGCAGAATAGTTCAGACCTAAAACACCACTTACTGATTGCCATGGCCTCCAGCTTCCCCCTTCCAGCACACACACTAGATTAGAGGAGAAGGGGCCTCTCAGACCAGATTCCTTTCTGTCATGTCACTCATAAGCCTTCGGTGGCTCATGATCAAATCTAAATATCTAGAAGCTTGAGGTCTTGCTGGCTCACTTGACAAACTTGAGTGCTGCTTTTGAGTGTTTCTACCTCCTCAGGCCTTCCTTCTCTTCAGTCTTTCCCATCATCCTCCAGGCACTGAAGAAATCAGGTACTGAGTGCACAGGTGCACAGCCCTGTTGTGCCCTCAATTTGCTGAATTCCCTCCTGGACCTTTGTACCTGCTACCTCCTTCAGGTAGGCGCGTGACTTGCCTCCTCTCTTCCCTGAGCACCCACCTAAATAGCAGTCTTCACTACTCTATATTCTATGCTGTATCGTTTTTCTTCATAGTACTGACCACTTCACATATTTCTATTTGTCAGTTTGTCTATCTTCTCTCCTTCCTTACTCTTTGAGAACAGGAACTTATTCTGTTCATTGCTATATTCCCAGTGCCTAAAAGAGCACCTGGCACATTGTAGGCACTTGTGCCCAGCCGGTGTGGCTCAGAGGTTGAGCATCAACTTATAAACCAGGAGGAGGTCACGGTTCAATTCCTGGTCAGGGCACATGCCTGGCTTGTGGGCTTAGTCCCCAGTGGGGTCATGCAGGAGGAAACCAATCAATGATCCTCTCTCGTCGGTGATGTTTCTAGCTCTCTCTCCCTCTCCCTTCCCCTCTGAAATCAATAAAAATATAAAAAAATAAAAAACGGCCTAAAGCCCTGGCCAGTTTGGCTCAGTGGATGGAGTGTCGGCCTGCAGACTGAGGGGTCCCAGGTTTGATTCCGGTCAAGGGCATGTACCTCGGTTGTGGGCACATCCCCAGTGGGAGGTATGCAGGAGACAGCTGATCGATGTTTCTTTCTCATTGATGTTTCTAACTATCCCTCTCCCTCTCTGTAAAAAAAAAAATCAATAAAATATATTTTAAAAAGATGGCATAAATACTTGTTGAATGAATGGGTGAACAAATTATCTCCTAAACTAGGTTCTAAGCACCGTAAGGGAAGGCACCCCCATTTTATCATCTTTGTGCCCCACGGTGAACACTTGTGAACATTGACAGCTTATGTAAGTGACTGAAACAATTATAAGTATCTTGTATAAGCCAATTTAGCCGAACATAGTGAAATAGGGATTGGGAACACTGCAAGAGCAAAGTTCCTAACCAGGCTGTCGCCAAGGAATTGTGTGGTCTGGACAAATCTGTATTAGCCTCCATTGTCTCATTTGTAAAGGCAAGGTTTGGCCTGGATTTTGAAATCTCTTTTAGCCTTGACATCCTGTGGTTGTAAGTTTAGGGTAACTGCACAGTCATTTGGCAAATATTTACTGAACTAGGTTCCGGGCACTAATTGAAAACACAAGACCCCAATCTCAGAGCTCCCAGATTGAAAGAGCAAAATAAAATAGGGTCAGCTGGGCTGCAATAGGAGCTGAGTCGTAAAGAGGCATGGCCTGGAGTGGAGGCTGGGAAGGGCATCTAGACTAAAGAAATGGATGTGCAAAGGCAGGAGGCATGGAGACAAGGGATATTTTTTTTTTTTAATATATTTTATTGATTTTTTACAGAGAGAAAGGGAGAGAGATAGAGAGTTAGAAACATCGATGAGAGAGAAACATCGATCAGCTGCCTCCTGCACATCTCCTACTGGGGATGTGCCCGCAACCCAGGTACATGCCCTTCACCGGAATCGAACCCGGGACCCTTCAGTCCGCAGGCCGATGCTCTATCCACTGAGCCAAACCGGTATCGGCAGGATATTTGTAACTAGAACATAACAATTTTACACGAAGAATTGTTTGTGACAAATGGCTGTGGGTGCTGAGAGTATATCCTGCATCCAACAAAGCTAAGGGTCAGTTCCAGCCAGGAAAACATTTACGACGGAAACAGCCAGATCAGGCATGCCCACACCTTAAACTGTTCAAGTTTAGGAAATGACCCAGCAAGTCCTCTCAATACTTCCTGTGAGATCTGAGTTTTCCCCCCACCAACCTGTGGTGACTCCCAGGTCACCTCACACCGTGTCTACCTGCCAGCTCGCGACTGGCACAAAGACGGACCAATCGATTGCTGCCTGGTGGGGTTTGGGGGGAGGGGGCAAGGTCTAAGCCGGTCAGCCTCGGAACGCGGCCCCGGCCGTGGCCCCAGGCAGGCCCTTTCTGGTTGAAATGCCCTGTTACCGGGCTGGCTGCAGGCGAGGCTGGGATTTGCTCTCCTCTCATTGGTCGGCCGAGAAGCGCGGGGGAACCCTTGTTACTAGAGAAGAGAACGAGAGCCCATTGGTCAGGTCACCTCACAATGGTCGGGCAGCTCGCAGGTTCTGCCAATTGGTTCTTTTCTGCCTGGGGGGAGGGCTGTCGCCTGGACCCCAGCAGGCAGCTTGGCGCCCTGGAAGGAGCTCAGCCGCGCCGACCCCTGTTCCCATTGGCCCGTTGGCTGCCCTGGGACCACCCCCTGTGCCGAGGTGGGCGGAGCATCCGAGCGCGTGCTCCTGCGGCGCGACCGAGGCCGGCGGGAGGGCGACCCGGTTGAAGTTGTCGCTGCCCGAGCTGAGAGCAAAGGCCCGAGAGCCTGGCGTGTCTGCCGCGGGCAGCCGTTTCCCAGGAGCTCTGCATCCCCGACCTGCTCCAGTAAGTTCGAGGCCCATGTGGCGTGCGAACCCTGCAGGGGAGGCGAAGGGAGCATCCCTGTGTACCTCGTCTGCGTTTCCTTGTACCTGTCCCTTAATCGTTTATCCATCACGTGCGTATCGGGTCCTTTACTTGGCATTGGGGTCCATCTGCTGCCCCACCTCTCCAAACCCTTATTTCTCTCTGACGGTGCTGGGAAATACTGTGCCCTAAAGAATCCGGATCGAGAGCCAAACGGAGGAGCGGTGAGGACGAGAGGGTGAGACCCCGGAGGCACGATGTTCTACTATCCCAATGTGCTTCAGCGCCACACGGGCTGCTTCTCCACTATCTGGTAAAGGCGGCTGGGCCGGGGGGAGGGGGGGCAGCTGGGAGGGGCGCCCTGGGATCCCCACCTGACAGCCCCCTCCATCCCCACCCCCACTCTGTCCAGGTTGGCAGCAACGCGTGGCAGCCGATTGGTAAAGCGTGAATACCTGAAGGTGAATGTGGTAAAGACCTGGTAAGGCCCAGAAAAGGGAGGGGTGACCTGGTACTGGTGTCGGTTAGGGGTGGGCAAGGTGGTGGGGCCGGTTCTTAGGGCAGGCACAGCGGTGACCAGGGCACGTTGTTTCCCCAGCGAGGAAATCCTCAGTTATGTGCTGGTACAAGTGCAGCCCTCGCAGCCCGGCCTGCCGCGCCCCCGCTTCTCCCTCTATCTCTCAGCCCAGCTCCAGATTGGGGTGATCCGGGTCTACTCACAGCAATGCCAGTACCTCGTAGGTAAGGCTGGGAAGGCTGCACAGAAGTGGGGCAGAGCTGAGTGGCCCTCTAGGGTGGCTCCCCACCTTGCCCTCCCTGCCCACAGAGGACATCCAGCACATCCTGGAGCGCCTGCACCGAGCCCAGTTGCAGATCCGAATAGATATGGTCGAGGCTGAGCTGTGAGTGTCCCCTGGGACTGAGACCACCCAGCCTTTGGTGGGGAACCTCACTGCTGGCCTTCGCCCATCTCAGCCGCAGTCCTCGACAGCCGCATTCTCTCTCAGCCCCAGCCTGCTGCTTCCTAACTGCCTGGCCATGATGGAAACCCTGGAAGATGCTCCAGACCCCTTTTTTGGGATGATGTCTGTGGATCCCAGGCTTCCCAGCCCCTTCGATATACCTCAGGTGGGGCCCATTCTCCCAGGACACCCTCAGAAGGGTGACAGTACAGAAGGGGAATGCTATTCCTGGACCAGTCTGACACTGGGGTTAGGGGGAAGGGAGCTGCCACAGCTCTGCCCCACAGGAGTCAGTGCCGGGGGCTGTCCTGGTGGACCAATCCAGACAAGCCTGCTCCACTTACGCAAGACCAACCTAGAGGCAGCTCTTATCCTCACTCATCTCCACACTGTTCCCACTGCCGAGGCCCTAATCCAGGCCTTCGTTGTCCCTCGGCACTAGGTTTCCCTACCCATGTCCTTCTCCATTTATTCCTAACACCCCCCGCAACTTAGACAATCTTCCTTTAAAGACATCTTCAGTGATTCCCCACTGCAAACAGAATACTGGCATGTAGGGCTCTGTGCCCTGGCCCAGAGCTAGCCATCCCCAGACATCTCAGCACATTCTCTGGGCATCTTTGTCTCCCAACACACCAGTCTGGCCCCTGGTCCCAAAGATGCCACATTCAGTTCTTTGCTTAAGTCCATAATGGTTACCCTGTTCTCTACTAGTCAAAGCCTACATATTCTTATAGACCTCACTTGGGTGCTACCCTTTTCCATGAAGCTTCTATCCCACTCCCAGCCAGAACCAAATGTTCTGGAACTCAGCCTTGTTTTATCCTTTGTGTTGGCCCCTGCTAGGGTCATATACAAACTTGTCTCCCCTCTGGACCATATGCTCCTTAAGAAGAAGAACACTTTTTTTCCCTTCTGCCCCCCACAACTTGATATAAGGGTGCTTCTAGCACAGATTAATTGACAAAGGCTAAGTAACTGGTGGGGGGACGGGGATCATGTGGGCGGGAAGGGAGGAAAGGAGACCAGATGGCGAGTGGGTTCACTGCGTGCCAATACAAGAATTAGGCATTAAAAGGTATGACTGTCCATGTGTGAATGAGATTGTGAAAGTGGGAAAACGGGGTTGAAGTTGAGCCCTATACTTTGTCTCCGATCCCTCTCCAAAGATCCGACACCTTTTGGAGGCTGTGACCCCAGAGAGAGTCCCTGAGGAGACCCCTCCCGAAGTCCCCATAGAGCCTGGGAAGCCAGGTGAGCAGAGAAGGACTTCTTTCTGGTGAGAGGCATAGAAGCTCTAACAGCTTAAGAAATAACCTTCTTTGAGCCTTAGCCGGTTTGGCTCAGTGAGTAGAGCGTCGGCCTGCGGACTGAAGGGTCCCAGGTCCGATTCTGGCCAAGGGCACGTGCCTGGGTTGCAGTATCGATCCCCAGTGTGGGGCATGCAGGAGGCAGCCAATCAATGATTCTCTCTCATCACTGATGTTTCTATCTCTCTCTCCCTCTCCCTTCCTCTCTGAAACCAATAAAAATATTATAAAAAAAAAGAAAGAAAGAAATAACCATCTTGGAGCTTCTCTTCAGGCCCTGGCCCTGGCCGGATGGCTCAGTTGGCTAGAGCATGGTTCTATACATAAAAAAGTTGTGGATTCTATCCCTGGTTGGGGCACTTACAGGAGGAAGCCGATCCATGTTTCTCTGTCTCTCTCCTTGCCTTCCTTCCCCCCTCCCCTCACTCACTCTATAAAAATAAAATAAAGGTATCCTTGGGTGAGGATTGAAAATACATTTTTTTTTTTAAAAGCCCAGCCAGTGTGGCTCATGGTTGAGTATTGACCTATGAACCAGGAGGTCATGGTTCAATTCCCAGTCAGGGCACATGCCTGGGTTGCAGGCTCGATCACCAGTGTGGGGTGTGCAGGAGGTAGCGGATTGATGATTCTTTCTCATCATTGATGTTTCTATCTCTGGGGCCAGGACCTGGACTGGAAGTAGCTCTGCTGCTTCTTCCACCCTGAAATCAATAAATACATTTTTAAAAAAGAGCCAGTTCTATGAGATCAGAATTTTTTTTTTTTTACTTTAAATATACATTTTTTATTGATTTCAGAGAGGAAGGGAGAGAGAGATAGAAACATCGATGATGAGAGAGAATCACCGATTGGCTGCCTCCTGCACGTTCCCTACTTGGGGGGATCGAGCCTGCAACCTGGGCATGCGCCCTTGGCCAGAATTGAACCTGGGACCCTTTAGCCCGCAGACCAACGCTCTATCCACTGAGCCAAATGGGCCAGGGTGAGATCAGAATTATTATCCCGATTTTACAGATGAGAAAGTGAAGCCCATAGTGGTTAAGTAACGTATCTAAGGTCAAATGGCCAGTGACTAGCCTGGGCCTGACTGGAACTCAGGTTGACTTGACTCCCGAGTCCATGCTTTTGCCTCACATGGGTATGGGAACTTGGAAAGAAGCAGAGAGGCTGGTGTGACTTCCCTGCCCCTTCAGACAGGACCCTGGTCACTGTGCTGACTCCGGAGGCCATCACCCTCCAGGAAGCAGAGCCCATACGCATGCTGCAGATCGATGTGAGTTGTACCCAGGCATACAGAGCCTGAGTCCTGCTTCTCAGCCCAGCCCTCCTTGCATCTACTTCTCTCTGCCCAGAGTCCTGCCTTCTCTGTCTCCATTTCCCCTCTCCCTGCCCCTGGCACTTGAGTGCCCATTGGGCTACCTCGACCCTGTCCTGTGGCATGCTTCTCAGACTCGCTCTCTTGGATCCACTTTCTTTTTTCAGAAATGGAATTGAGTTCCCTCTCCATGTTCTTCCTCTCACAACAGGGTGAACGAGACCTCCCAGAGGTTAGCCGTCGAGACTTGGACCTGCTCATTGCTGAGGAAGATGAAGCTATCTTGTTGGAGGAACAAGGCAGGCCTGTCTAGCAGTGTGGGACGTGCCTGGTGCTGGACAGTCAGGCCCCGGGCATGGGCAGTCTGGGCTTGGGCAGTGCTCCTATCTCATCCCTTCTGTGGTCTGATCCCTGATCCTCTCTCTCTGCAGTGTCCAAGGAGGAACCTCGAGCCCCAGAAGTGGAAACTATCGTTCCCCCTCTGTCACCTCTAGCTCTTCCACAGTAAGGACAGGAACGCCTGGGCCTAGTAGGGGGTCAGTGCTGGGAGGAGTGTTCTCATCGCTCTTGCCATTTCCCGTCAGGGTGGAAGAGGCTGCAGAGCCACTTCCAGGCCAGGTCCTGGCCCCAGAGGAGGTGAAGCCAGCAGCCTGGGAGCCGGAGGCCCTGCTTGCTGGTGAGTAGCCATCACGCCTGGATCCTTCCTGGAGGCACCTGCACAGCTGTTGCAGACGGGCCCTGCATTCCCTCTTGCTAAAGGCAGGGCCCTCTAGCGTCTTGCCTGGGTGGCTGTGAGGGCAGAGGGTATGGGGCAGAGCCAGGACCTAGCATGTTGTTGCAGAGGTGACGCCCCCGCCCCCGCAGGAGCTGCGTCTCCCAGCCCCACTCAGCCCAGAGGTGAGTACGAGCCCTTCTAAGCCTTCTTCTCTTCACTCTCCTCACCCAGAGCCGCTCACCCATAATCAGCTTCCCCAAGCCCCAGGCTACTGCTAGCCTACAAAAGCCTTTGTACATCCCTAGCCAGTTTGGCTCAATGGATAGTGTGTTAGCCTGGGGACTGAAGGGTCTCGGGTTCGATTCTAGTCAAGGGCACATGCCCTGGTTGTAGGCTTGATCCCCAGTAGGGGGTATGTAGGAGGCAGCCTATCAATGATTCTCTCTCATCATTCATGTTTCTATCTCTCCCTCTCCCTCTCTGAAATCAATAAAAATTTATTTTTAAAAAAGCCTTTGTGCAAATTAGTAAAAGGTGGCGCTGCTTATACCACAATTTAACCAGCTGAAGGGTAGGAGCTGCACATGCTCCTGGAGTGCCCACCCAAGCCCTTTCCTAGGGTACCTCGGGGGCCTGTTTGCAGTCCCACCAGGATGTCAGAAAAAGGAGTAATTGGTAGCTTTGCCCCCCCCCCCTCCCCCTCTGCAGAGGAGGCCCCCAGCCTCCCCACCTGCTCGCCGCCGCCGCAGTCGCCGCCGCCAGTTATTGTTCTGGGACAAGGAGACTCAGATCTCCAGGGAGAATTTCCAGAAACAACTGCAAACCAGAGCTCATTGCTGGGAGTGTGTGAGTGCAGCCCAGACTTTGCAGGGGCTGGAAACAGGGAGGGCCTGGGGTAGGTACATGCTGGGCCTTGTAAACTCCTGGGAAGGCATCGGGAACATCCCCTTAAGTGCATGCATTGGGGTCTGCCCAGCATGTGTTGGCACCAGTTAAAAATCCGACTTTTAGCAATGAGCACGGCAGGCAGGGGCATGAGCCTGGAGGTTGGAAGGCCAGAAGCACTGGCATTGAAGAAGTAGAGAGGGGCAGTGTGGAGCGACTCACTCTTAACTGGGCTCTGACCTTCCCTATCACGCAGCCGATGGTGCAGCCCCCTGAGAGGATCATCAGAAGCCCCACAGAGCTGTTTCAAACCCCAACTTACTGTAAGAGTGATGGGAGTTGGCATGTGGGATCCTCATTCTTGGTGTTCCTCGTGCCTCAAACCCTGTCCCTGCTGCCACCTTGTCCCCACCCAGCTGGCTGGCTACCCCCAGAACTGCTGGCTTTCTGGACCCGCTGTGCCCAGCCACCCCCAAAAGCACTCAGACGAATGCCCCTGGAGCCTGAAGAGGAGGCTGCCGAGAGGGAGGCAGCAGCTGAGGAGGAAAGGAGAAAAATGGAAACCCCGAGTGATATCGAGGTAACTGCGCCCTCACTCCTTCCTGAAGGACCTGCTTTGCTTAAGCTCCAGCAGTCTGCCTTCTGCCCAAGTGAGCCAATGGCATCAGGCTCGGGTGGCCTGTCCCAGAGCCAAGGCCATTTCAGGGCGGGGACTGTTTCACTTCTGCCCCAAGTGCTTCTGTGATGCTTGGGGTCTTAATTCTTTCTTTTGCCCCCAGGTCCTGAGGGAGGCCCAAGAGCCCAGTGGGCCCCTTATGCTGTCTTCAGGTAAGCACCTGAAGGGGCGGTGAAGACCACCACCCTAACCACTGTTCCAGGAAACTGGTATCCCAACTGCTGACAGTTTTTGTCAGAGGGAGTATTTAACACAGAAAGCATAGGTTGGGTTTCAGTTCTCCCTCCTGGGTGCTTGTAACAAGTCACTGCACAGCCCTGACATCCAGTTCAATCAGGTGGCCCCAAGGCCCCAGCTGCTCAGATCCAGGCAGACTGAATCAGGACCTTCTCTCCCCCAACAGAGCTCTCCATAGAAGCAGCTGAGGAGGAGAAGTCTCACATCAGCCTCATTCCCCCGGAGGAGCGATGGTAAGCAGCTAGGCCTGGTGAGCTCAGGCACAGCCCTGGCCACGTGGGGTAGTGCTAGGATGGGCATGCCCCTGGCCACCATCAATCACAGCTACTTCCCTGCTCCACCTGACTCCCCGTGTTCTCCTAGGGCCTGGGCTGAGGCGGAGCAGCCAGAGCCCCCTGTATTGCCTGTGGTGCCCGAACTCCCCGAGGTGCCCATGGAGATGCCTTTGGAGCTGCCTCCGGAGGCAGAGCTGCTCTCACTTGAGGCTGTGTACAGGTAGGTACCAGGGAGGGGTTGCCTCAACTGGGTGGGCCTGGTGGGGGCCTTAGCTAACAGTTCTTGACCCCTACAGGGCAGTGGCACTGGAGCTGCAGGCCAACAGGAAGCCAGATTTCAGCAGCCTAGTGTCACCTCTTAGCCCTCGCAGGATGGCTGCCCGGGTCTTCTACCTGCTCCTGGGTGAGTGTGGGCATGTGTGTGTGGGAGACACACTGGCTAGAGGCCACTGTAGGGACTCCCCCTGACCAGCTCCCTCTTTCTGCCTTGACAGTGCTCGCAGCCCAGCAGATCTTTCGCATGGAACAAGAGAAGCCATACGGGCGCCTCCTGATCCAGCCGGGGCCCCGATTCCAATGTGGTTAGAACAATTTAGAAGCTGCCAAGAAACCAGCTACGTTAAACCCTGTCTTGCCCTAGACTCTGCCTGTCTCCTTTCTGGAAGTCACCTTTGTTCTTCCTGCTCTCAGAGCAGAGCTACTGTTTAAGCAGAAAATGAACTGCCTTTATTACAATATGTTGTCGCAGGTCAATTTGTATTGTCCCACAGCATAGCAGATCAAGCCCCAGGGACAGCTCCATAAGGCAGACAGTAAGCAGGGCTGGGGCCCCAGGATCTGGTAAGGCATGAGGTGGAACTGGGCTGAGAGGTAGTCTTGGGGCCCAGGCAGGCTGTTCTCTCTGGCCCAGCTGCAGCCCACAGTCTAGATGAGGCCCAGGATGGCCTGGAGTTCCTGAGCCTTGTCCCCAGGCAGTGAGCCCAGTGCTGTATGGAAGCTGTCGGTGTGCTGTTCAGCCAAGAATGTCAGGAGCAGCAGCAGTGTGGCCTTGGTGTCTGGGAGGGGTAAAGAGAGAGATCCAGGGAGGACTGGCCCCCAACCCCTAGATGCCCCAGACCCTCTGAGCCTTGCTGCTCCTTGCCTCCCCATCCTGCCCATGAAGGCCACCCTCACCTGGTGGGATCTTGTCATCAGCCTGAATGAGGCTGCAGATGCGCAGGAGCTCAGGAGCCACATCTACAACCTGTGGAAAAAGAAGGGCCAACTTGGACAGCAGCACCCTGAGCCCCAGACTGGGTTGGGTGTTAGGGGCCAAGGAGAGACAGTCTTTCTCCCACCAGGGCTGCTGGAGCCCGACACTAATTCACAAGAACCCAAGATAATTGTAAAGCATGAGAAGGACCCATGAAACACTATGATGATAATTTCAGGGGTGGGGAGTGGGGAGGATTAGGGAATTGTGATTAAAGATGATTGAAATCATGGCCTCAAGATCAAAAGCCCAAACACCCAGGAGCTCTACCAACACAATATCTAAAGGGGAAAGACACAGGAACACTAGGACATCAGTCCAAACCTAGCTACTTGGTGCAGTCAAATCTCAACAGAACTGGACTGGATGATGAGTGGCCCAGACTGGTACCCAAGCTCCATGAAGCACAGCCTGACAGGGCCCTGTTCTAGGAAACCAGCCTAGTCAAGTTGTGACTTCTGGATCAGACCAGAGGATGGAGGCTCCCTGGGGAGAAATGCCATGTGGAGAGAGGAGCACTTCCTCTTCATGGCAGGCCTGCCTATCAATCCTTGCAGATCAACGAGAAAGCAGAAAATGGAGTGTCAAAGGGCAGCTTAAACCACCACTCTGCATCACCTACAGCTGAGGCCAACTCTGCCTGTCACTGGGAAGGGAGCATTAAGACCCCTGACGCTCCAGCACTGGGGTTACCTGCTCAGGGCTGCTCTGGTGCAGGAAGCTGAAGAGGTGTCCTATGGTGGCCCACTCCTCCAAGTCCTCCTTCAGTGGCAGGGCGTGCAGCAGAGCAGCCAGCACCTGGACAGACAGATGGCTTTGGTCTCTTGCCCTGCACCCTCCTCAGCTTCCTACCACTGCCCAATGCCCCTACCCCTCACCTGGGGCTCTGGTTTCCTTGTGGGACTGGCCATCAGTAGGCGGGCCAGCGCCCCACAAATGTTATCATGGACACGATTATGGCGCTCCCGTGCCAGGAGGGGCAACAGGAGCCCCACCAGCTTGGAGAAGTATCTGATCCAAGGTCAAGGAAAAGGCACTCTCATCCCCAAGCCCAGGGGCACTCCCCCAACCCCACCCCAGCCACTTTTGGAAGCTGAGGATACTCCTGGGCAGGACGGCCCCCATGCTCAGCCAACACGCCCAGTCCAAAGATGGCATTGCTCCGCACTTCAGGGTCTGTCTCCCGGGCGGCGTTCAGCAGCACGGGGAGCAGGCGGGACACAAACTGGGCTGAGGCAGCACCCAGGCCCTGAATGGACTCCGCCAGCGTCCCCACTGCAAAGGACTTCTCTGCCACTGTGCAGCCCTGTTTCTGATGGGAGGAGTGCAAATCAGCCTGGGACTGAGACAGAATGGGGGCGTTGGGCAGAATGGGGTTTGAGCACTCACTGTCTTGCAGAGCAATAATGGTAAGAACCCAGCGAAGAAGGGGGCAAAAGCATCTCCCCCTGCTGCAGCTGCCAGGGCAGGAATGGCCTCACCAGCGTACTCTAGCAACATGGCATCGTATTCAGCCTGTGGGGCCAGAGCACCAGGGCCAGCTCTGAGACTGTGGCACCTCCCACCATGCTCCTCCACTGCTGAAGGTGGTCCCTGTGAAAGGACTGGCCCCTCCCAGGCTGGGCTTGTTTGTAGCCCAGCTTTTTTTCTTGGCCCTCCTACTCTCACCTACCAATCCAAGCCCGCCCTGAATCCCCCACTCCAGGAAGCCTTCCTTGAATCCCCACTGCCTGAGTGGGAGCAGGGTTGTATCACTCAGAACCATTACCAATCTTTTAGTAGCCCTGGCTCCCCTAGGCCAAGTCCAAGTGCACTGTCCACCCTGCCCTGTGGAGACTACCAGACAAATTACCTGGTCTCACAGTTTGCATCCATAGCTCTCACCTGGTCCTCGTCCTCCTCCTCCTCCTCAGTGTCCTGACAGGCTGTCTGTAGGACGAGGTAGCTCAGCTCAGCCTGAGCTTTCTTGTCCCTTCCCCTCTCCATTGGGTGAGGGCATGGGGAGCTGGACTTGCAGCCTCTGACCATCCCCACCTGGGGCTGGGCCACCTCTTCATCCTGCAGCCCCCACTGCCTTGCTCACCTTCCTCTGCAGCACAGCCTTGAGCATGTTGCAGAGCTCAGCAAGGCGCCCGGGGGGCTGCAATGTGAGGCTCCCACAGCTGCGCAGCACCCCAGTCAGGGACTCCAGCACAGCCATCACCACTTGGCGCTCCCGCTCCCCGTATACTGCCTGCATGTAGGACGGTACCACCTGGCCCAGGATGATCTGCAGAGCTGAGGATATGACTGGCTGAAGTCCTGGTCAGGCCCTGCCCCTCTACCCCCCAACCTCTGGTACCACAGGCCCCAGCCTGGCCCCGGCACCCTTCTCACCAGCAGTATTGGGTTCTGAGAAGCTTTGAGAGGTCTTGTGCACCGCACAGCAGAACTGTCCCAGAGCCTCATGGGCTGCCTTTCGCACATTCAGGTGAGGGCACTGCAGGATGAGGAGTGGAATGTGCCTGCTCCGTGCAGGGGGAACACAGGGCCCCTAACTCTCAGTCCCCACCCACTTCACCCACTGTCCACTCACCTCCAGAAGTTTAAGTACTTCTTCAAAGACACTCTCCATGTAGGGAAGGAAGGCCACACTGTGAACAGACACATGGCCATGGGGAAGAGGCTCCCAGGCAGGGTACCCAGTGCCAGGGAAGGGCCGATACTCACCTGGTGTTCACAGAGATCTCCCCCAGGGCAGCACAGGTGTCTTCCTTCTCATCAAAAAAGGCATTTTCCACACTGTACCTAGAGTAAGGTGGGGAGTTAGCAGTGATCAGGCACCAGCAGGAGCAGGTCTGGCACTGGCCCCTTGTCCAAAGCTAGGATTCCTCTAACCATTCCTACAATGGCACCCCTCCGCACCCTGAGATCTCTGAGTCGTCCTCCTCTTCCTCGTCCTCATCCATGAGTTCCTCCTCCTCCTCTCCACCACTCTCATCATCAAACAGAAGAAAGGAGCTGCTGCTGTCGTACTGAGGCTGGACAGAAGAGGCACGGCAGGGATTTTGCCTCAGCTGGTTTAAGGAGATAAATCTCACCCTCCGGCCAGCCTTCCCCAACCACCTAGCCCTCCCATTCCGCTCACCACAATGCCCTCCGTGGAACGCAGTGACAACAGCATGAGTCTGGTGATTTGTGGCAGGTAGGGTGCCAGGCCCTCACCCATCAGCCCTGATAAAGCTGCAAACAGGCTGTACCTGGTGGAGGCAGGTGGAAGCTGTACAGTCCTGCCTACTACAGCCAGACAGGATGGGGGAGCCAGGGGAAACCTATGGTCCAGAACCAGAGGACTGAGGTCTGGAGTGGGGACAAATGAGGGCTCACTCACGTGCAGCGCCGTAAGTCAGGGTCGTCTACCTGGTCACACAGGCCAAGCCCCAGCTGGCAGCATTCCTCAGCCAGGGGCCTCATGGGCTCCCCAACTGCTCGTGCCAGCACCCCCAGTGTCTCTGTGGGGGCAAAGACTTGGTTAGCACTGGGATGTGGAGCTGGTCAGAGGAATGCATGGCCAAGGCCTGGGACCAAAGGTGGCAGCTGGAGGTAATTCAGAAATCCCACCTACTCTTAGATACAACGGGAATGCCTTCTTCAACGAGCAGGAAGACACCCGGGCTGCCCTGGGGAGACCTCTGTGAACACCAGGTGAGCACCAGCCCTTCCCTGGCACCGGGAACCCTGCCTGGGAGCCCCTTCCTTACCCAGGCTCTGGATCCGCAAAGGCTGAAAGTCCTCATGGCCTATCATCAGGAAGCCCCGCAGGTGCTCCATGACGGTGGGGAAGTAGGGCAGCAGGGAGGCCTGGGCAGCCGTGGCTGAAGAACAGAATCAGGTGTGGGATGTGGGGGGTTCCGGGATCAACTGCTACAGGCTTTCTGGGTGAACCCCGCGCCCTCTTTCCTGCCTCCTTCTCCTCACCAATGGCCCCCAAGGCGCTCACAGCCAGCTCCTTGGCCCGGGGGCTGCTGGGGTTCCTCAGAGGCTGCAGCATACATTCCATAAGCTCCGGGAGGTAGGGCTGCACTTTCGGCCCTGTGGGAAAGGCCACCCCTCTCACAACCAAACCAGGTCTCCCCTTCCGGGCGTCCAACTGGTTCTAGGCTGACACTCCTTGTAGCTCTGCCACACCCTTTTCCCCACCACAGGCCACAGTTCTAGGAGTGGCATATCCTGCCCTACTTCAGCCAAAGCTATAGCTTTGTCCCCTACCTCGAACCCCCAACTGCCATCACTACCTAGGTTCTCCACGAAATTCTCAAGGGCATAGCAAGCCCTGGCTAGATGGTGTGTATGCCCAGGAGACACCGACTTCAGGTAGGCAAGG